TACCTGGCAATTGCCCCCTCCCACTCTTTTTTTTAAAAAAAAAAAAAAAAAAAAAAAAAAAAAAAAAAAAAAAAAAACAAAGACTCTTATTTCTAATCAAATTTATTAAAACTGGGCGAAGCTACCTGGCAATTGCCCCCTCCCAACTCTTTTTTTTTAAAAAAAAGAAAAAAAAAAAAAAAAAAAAAAAAAAAAAAAAAAAAAAAAAAAAAAAAAAAAAAAAAAAAAAGATGAAAAATGGTTTGCTTTTGGCTAGGGTCAAATCTTGGTCATCGAAGAAAATATAACATGTCTTTACTGTTTTGTCACCTTAACTTATATGTTCAATTTTTGCAGCCCTTAAATTTAAATCCTAGCTTTGCAGCTACAGCTACTTATAAGGCAGTATGTTTTGTTTTAGGGTTTGTTTGCAAAATTAGCTGTTTGAGTAGTTTTTATAAAACTCTAAAAGCTAAATGTTACATGCGTTAACTTTTATAAAACGTTACTTTAACATCTAAAAGTTAATTCAAACCTTATATCACTAAACACTATAAAAATTAGCATTTAGCTTTTTGATAAAAACTCCTTAAAAAATTATTACAGAACACAACCTTAGAGGCAAATCTTAAATTTCAAAATAAAAGATTAATTCTGGTAGTTAATTTTCCTAGTTGTGTAACCAGAAGTTCCGGTCTATTGAGGTTCAGATTTTGGTCTATTTGTCCTCTCTTTTCGTAGCCTTTTGTTCAAAATTAAGGTTATCAGTAATTGGTTTATAACTGTTGGGGACATTAACCTAGCATGAGTTAATACATAGACAATGGCATCAAATAGAAATTCAATTCTCAATTAAGCAGCAAGATACATAAATTTACCTCTGAATTTTCTTAATATAATCTTGTGTCACTCTCAACTTTTATTTTGGTCTATTAAACACTTCAACTTATAAAAATATATTTATAAAAACACTTTAATTTTCAAAATTATTTTATTAAACACTTCAATTTATAAAATTAGATCAATTAAACACTCATTAAAAAGTTGAAATTTATAAAAATTATTCTCATTTAAAAAGGTTGAAATTTATAAAAAAATTATTGCTTTCAAAAGTCATTGCTAAACCTATATCAAGTCAATATTTTACAAATAAAATCAAAAAATTCACAAAAAAGTAAGTGATTATTTTATATCGAATTATTGGTTGCTCTTGTAATATTATTTAAATATTTTACAATAGTTTAAGTGTCTATTTATATAGTCTATCCTTCATAAAATTTTATAGTATAACACTTCAATTTATAAAATTAGATCAATTAAACACTCATTAAAAAGTTGAAATTTATAAAAATTATTGTTTCAAAAGTCATGCTAACTATATCAAGTCAATATTTTACAAATAAAAATCAAAAATCACAAAAATAATTGATATTAATATCGAAATGTGTGTAATATTATTAAAATTTACAAGTTTAAGTGCATTATAAGTCATCCGCAAAATTTAAGATGTCACAAGGTTAAAGTTGCGATATTTAGGAGTAAATTTATGTATTTAGTTCAATTAAGCTATTAATTACCTCATGCAAGATCAAAGGGTCTATTGGCACTGCCATCTACATTGGTGGGTAAAGAATCGAAAATAGGATTCTAATACTTGGTTCCATTATAAGCATCTTGAAAGAAATTTTCCGATGATAATCCGGCTGAAATTATAGATCATTCAAATAAAATTAGATCTTACAATGAATCACTATGGAAATGTAGTTGTCGAGATTTTGGTATGGGTGTACAATCTGTTGGTATTTTGTATTTGGTAACTATATGATGATTAAAAGTCGAGTACATCGTTTAATCTTTGAACTTTGACAAAAAAATTTTATGACACCTAAATTATAAAATTGACCTTAAGACATTTTGAACTTCACTTGTTGCAATAATTTCATACCTCCTTATTAAAAATAGTAAATTTTAAAATTTTTTGGCTTTTACATGCAAAATATTAATTTGATATGTGGTTAATTCAACTTTTAGAACAATAATTTTACATTTTTTAATTTTCCAATCAAGTGTTTAATTGATCTAATTTTATAAATTGAAGTGTTCAATAGGTTAAAACAAAAATCGAGGTTGTCACATGATTTTTTGTGCAAAATACATAGGTGAATTTATGTATTAAAAAATAACTCACGGTTAAGTAAGTAAATTTAGGACTAATAGATATTTGGGATGATGAGAGAGTATGAAAAATGAAAGGAAATCAAACGATAACATGAAATCCGCTTCCCATCTCTCTCTCTTACGGCAGGCATGATCACAGTTCTAGAATTACCGAGTTAGATTAAAACTGCCGATTTTAAACGATTAATACGGTTTTGGAGCCAACAGTTCTAGTTTTATTCTAGTTTGAAACTAAAATTAGATAATTTATTTTAAACTTTTAAAATTCTTTTTTCACGTAGCTTGAATATATAATAATAAAAAATATTACTATTCAAAAGCACTAAACCAATTGAATAGAAATTTTTGAAATTTATTTCAGACAATTGTAATAAAATAAAAATACAAGTTGGGAGTTTTTTAAAGAATATATTTTTTAAGATTTTCAAATCAAAACTATCTGTTTCAAACCAAAATCGACCATTTCAGTGTTTAAAATTGAATCTTACTACACAATTTCGGTGATAGCTCAGAACCAAGAACCATTTACCACAGTTTAATGCTCTTTTTTGACTAGTTAGTTTTCAATTCGATTCCAATTTGAACCGAATTGCGGTGATCCCTATCCTTTGGTCATGGCTTGTGTTCTTTATAATTGGTTTGTCAGATACTAATAGGCCCCACCATAATTAATGTTATAATTGGTTTGTTTGATACAAATGGGCCCCACCACAATTAATGTGATCTTATCTTGGTTAGCTAAGCTACCAATTCATCAATCTTTCTATATTTTCATTTGTAACCAACCAATTTTTTTTTTTTTTTTTAATTTTTTTAAAGTAACAAACCAGACTTCATTAAATTTGGTTCTAGGTATAAGCGTTATAACTTATATTAACTCACATTATCTATTATAAATATAAAAAACCTAATAAGTTTTACTTCCTTTGCAATTAAATTTATATTTCTATTATACATCTCTTAACTCTCTTCAGCCTCTATTAAAGTCTCTACTAAAACTTATATACATATACATGCATACACATACATATTATTCATACTTAAGAGACTTAATGGATTCATTAATTATATTTTTGGGTAAATAAATTGCTATTAGAAAAATTCAGGAAAATAATTAATTCGTCCTTGAGGTTTGACCAAACTAACTAAATCATCCCTGCAGTTTGATAATATTAATTAATGATCCCCAAAGTTTATCTTTGTCAAATTACTTGGTCCTTCCGTCTATTTTCTTTAAATTTTTCCATTAAAATCATTAAAAAATACCCTCACACTTAAGAAGGGTAAATACTTAATTCATCCCTGGAGTTTGACCAAACTAACTAATTAAACCCACAGTTGAACAATATTAATAAATAATCTCTGAGATTTACCTCCATCAAATTATTTGGTTATTCCGTTCATTTTCTCCATATTTTTTCATTAAAACCTTAAAAAAAAAAGACTAAAATACTCTAACATTTAAGAAGAAAGAGACTAAAATAACCTAGGTTAGAATTTTCATTTGTCGTGGAGGGAAATAAAGAGTCAGGATATATATTGATTATTTGATTCACCTAAAAAAAAAAAAATGATCGATATATTGTGTCATTTTACTGTCTTGAGCCACTAATAAAAAGATAAAAAAAAAATATACATCAAGTTAATTTCAATAAAAATAATAGGAATTTAATTTTAGGTACAATATTCAAGAGAACAAGTTATTTTATATATTTCGTTACAAACTACAACTAATGAAATGAAAGTAGGAACATAAGAATAGTAAGAATATTTTAGAAAATAAAAATAAATCATTGTTTTTGCAGAATTCCAGTTGTAAATTTAATAAGACTCAATTGTCATTCCGTTATAAAGCAAATAACCTAGGTTAGTTTAGTTTTTTTCTTCTTAAGTGTAATGATATTTTAGTCTTTTTTTTTTCAGGTTTTAACAGAAAAATCAGCAGAAAAGAAGCAGAATGACCAAATGGTTTGACTGAGATAAACCTCATTGATCATTAATTAATATTGCTAAACTGCAAGGATGACTTAGTTAGTTTGGTCAAATTTCAAGGACGAATTAATTACTTTCCATTCTTATATGTCAGGGTATTTTAGTCTTTTTTAAAGGTTTTAATGGAAAAATCTGGAGAAAATGGACGGAAGGACCAAGTGGTTTGACGGAGGTAAACCTCGGGGACTATTAATATTGTCAAATTGCAGTGATGACTTAGTTAGTTTAGTCAGACCTCAGGGACGAATTAATTATGAATTAATTATAGTACGATCCCTATGATTTATGAAATGCAACTAGTTCGTCTCTGTCTTTTTTTAAAATATATTAAAACATCTTTATATTTTACTTCCATTAGACTATAAGGTCCTTCCATCCAATTTTTGCATTTTTTAATGTTAAGTACCTTATGAAATGACAAAAATACCTTTTTATTTTTAAAAATATAGAAACAGACTAGTTGTATTTTTCAAACTATAAGGACCGTACTATAATTTTTTTGGTATAATATTTTAGTATATCTCCTTTGACCTCTGTGTTCTCTTCTTGAATTAACGGAAAAGATATAGAAAATGAACAAAAGAACCTAGTAATATAATGGAAGCAAAACATATAGACAAATTGGTATACTCTAAACAAAATAGGGACAAACTAATCGTATTTCATAAATCACGGGGTCGTGCTGTAATTTTTCCATTGCTATTTAACCCTTGAGAATGTAATAACATGTTTGATAACCACTATGCTAGTAGTTTACTTACTGAATTCACATCTCATAATAGATTCACATGCCTTTCAAGTGTATCTCAATAGCTAATAAGCTAAACTTGGTTATCAGCTCTCACACAAAATTAAGGAAAATCATCTCAACTTAGAACAATAAAACCAATCATAAAAATGTCCCACATAATTTGAATGCATTGTAAAGACATTCGAATAGAAAAAATTAGCACAAGACATATTAAGTTAGAAAAATGATAGACACCCTTAAAATTGAAGTGTTAAGGATCATAGATGGCCTTCCACCTCCTTTACAAAAGGATGGGCTAACAATTGAGCAGTTGTGGGACGATCATTTGGATTAACTTGCAAACATTGTAGAATAAAATCTCTAGAATTAGAGGTGAGAGAATCAGGAATTGAGGGTAACTCACCTTTTCCAATTTTAAACAATGCTTGCTGGAATTCCAGAGTAGGATATGGACGCTGACGAGTCAACATCTCTAACACAGTGCATCCCAGGCTCCATATATCAGCTTGAACTCCATATCCTTTCCTTGAATTAACAACTTCAGGAGCCATCCACCATGGTGTCCCCCAGCTAGACCTAATAAGACCACTCGATTCAATTACTTTCGCCAATCCAAAGTCTGCAAGTTTCACATGTCCACTTACATCAACCAATATATTTGCACATTTAATATCTCTGTGAATAATGTTTTTGTCGTGAAGATACTTTAAACCTTGCAAAATGTGTCTTGTGTAACGAGAGACTTGAGAATCTTCAAGTGAGAATTTCTTATAAAGATTCTCGAGAGAACCTTTGCTTACAAGCTCAAGAAACACATACAGAGTTGAATCAACCTTTTCTGAGCCATAATATTGAACTATATGCTCATGATTCAATTCACTTAGTAATCTAATCTCGTGCTCAATCTTTGTAAGTGAACCTTCACTTAAAAACCTAACTTCCTTTGCAGCGAAAAAGAACCCTTGGGAAGCGAATCCTTCATAAACAAGTCCATATGATCCGCGCCCTAAAAGATCACCCTTTTGCCAATTTTTGATGTCTGGTCTTGCACATTTAGTAGCCTGCCAAACAATTCAAAATGGTTATTCAAGAGCAACTCCATTTGGATGGGTAGCCATTTGAAATGAAAATTTATTTGAACTTCATGTTAGTGCTTTTCTTTTATATTTTTCACTTAGAAACACAAATCAAAATCCATAGAGTTCATCAAAATGCACATCTATATGAATAGACTCTAATAAACTTTTTAAATTTCTAGACTCACCTGGGCAAGGATTGCACGCCTTTCAATTGATGACTCTACAGGTATCTGCCCTTGCTGGAATTGCTTCTCTTCATGACATTCAAGCACATCAGAAAAAGGCAAAATGTTCTCAAGAAATGAAGTTTCCCCAATACCAATGCTAGAATTCTGCAAGTTGGAGTAATCAAAAGGCGGTGCCTTTATTCTAGTATCAGCAGAACATTCCCCGATGATTACCGCTTCCACAAATTTGAGAGATGCAATCAGTATGTCCATATATAAAATCATGAACATATGACGCCTGATTGTTTTCAAAATAAGCAAGTAATTTTGTACCTTCCTGATCTCTAATGACTTTAGAAAGACAAGACACATAACCAGATATAGCAAATCTAAAACCATAAAATTAATATCTGTTTCCTTTTCTTGATGGGACTTCAAGAATTGCCTCTCTTTTCTTTCAAGTGATTCCTCTGTTTCTTCATTGAGATCAGTAACAGTATAATTCTTCTCGTGGTCTTGGGGCTGCAGGCGCTGATAGTGGAAAAACACGAACTCTGAAAGGATCTGGGAATAGAACCAGCAAACAATAATTAGAAGCAGAGTAGCAATCCCTTGATTATGTCGCCACCAAAACACCAAAATACCCATAGTTCGCATCACTGTTCTATGATCCTCCCCAAATACTTCCATCCATACTGCTATTAGTGCAAATAAGTATATAAAGCATTCCCACCACCTTCCATCTATGTCTACTCCCAGTTCTGCCCCATAATAGTAAAAACAGTAATAAGAGATATTCACGATTGCCCACTCTGTCATGCCCAAGTACATTCTGGCCTATTATTATTTTCATGCAGTGTTGTTTGAAGTGAAGCACCAATTTCCTGTCAATCTTTATGTGAAATTCCATGTCTCATCTTGTCTCTATTTTTTTGGTCCTAGGCCTGGCCCTAATTAGACTCTTCAAGCAATGTTATTTCTGCAAAGGTAGAGCAGACCAATCTCACAATTTGAATGAGAAGGGCAATCTGCACCCAAGAAAAGAGATCAAATCACACAACATACAAGCAAACACCAAAACAGCTACAAAGAAAGATATGTATACTTTATACTCAAAATCCAAGAAAACCTCTAAGACATGAGAGAACAAGAATAGAGCTGATACAGCTGCTGCAGAAACAGGGGACCCAAAGCCAAGAGAGGAGATGAGCAGACAAACCTAAAATATCAAATGTTATGAAAATAAAAAGTTAGCCTGCTAATTACTTAGTATTGACAATTGAGAAGTGATTAATCCAAGTGTGAGTAAATTCATATTACTTTATCTTCTGAGTTTACCTATTGTCCACTTTCCAGAAAGCAACACATCTTTACGAAGACCCTTCTTTGTTTAAACAAAGGTGATTTTATATTCCATGAAGCAGCAAACCACATGTTCTAGAGTTGGTCAAAACCCCGTTATATTACACCAAACAAATGTTTAGAATTGGTCAAAACCCCGTCATATTACACAAAACACATGTTTAGAATGTTATATTACACAAAGGACATCTTTCTTTTTCTAAACGAAGGTGCTATTACATCCCACAAAACAACTAAAAAAAAACATCTTTAGAATAGGTAAAAACCCCGTCGTCTCATGTAATATTATATTCCATAAAGCAACAAAGAAGATAATACAGGCTTCTCCAACTACTAACCTACTCTGAGAATTGAGAGATGGAACATGATAGACGGCACGATTCGTTCCAATTCACGACACTATTTTAATTGTAAAAAAGCTGAGATGCGGGGCCATGTATAACGTAGAGAAAGACTTTTTGTGTGGGCTTGAGATTGTAAGAAAAGGATAAAAGGGTAATTTGATTAATGGTCAGTTGCCTTTGAATGTAACACAGAGCCACAAATTTCAGATTTCACCTTCTTAATTCCCCCCCCCCCCCCCCATTGAGAGATGGAACCATGATAGACGGCACGAATTCGTTCCAATTCACGGAGCAGGAGTGATGGTGGTAATGAGGGGCCAGGTAGTAGACGTGAGAGGAAAGACGTTGGTTTGTGTGGGGCGGTGAGATTGTAAGGAAAAGGGATAAAAGGGTAAATTTTGATTTAATGGTCGTTTGCCTTTGAAATGTAACACAGAGCGCGACAGGAATTGTCAGATTTCACCTTCGTAATCCCCCCCCCCCCCTAATTATCAAATTGCGCGCCCCTTAATATGGGAAATTGGAAATTAAATTTCAAATACAAACCATTCTAATTATAATAAAAGAAAAAATATATTTTATAAATGAAAAAAAAAATCCAGCCCAAAAAAATAACAATAAAAAATATATGACATTAGTGAATTGTTGGAATTTTATAGAGAGAGATTTTTGGGTAATAAATTAATTATTATTATTATTATTATTATCCAATTTTTCCTCATATTCATATAATATTATAATAATCTATTTATCTATCTATAATCTATCTATACTATATATAAAAGTGGAAAGGGGAATAAAGGGATTTTTAACAGCGCCCTTAATGAAATTTAAGATATTCTAAAATAACATTAGTTATAGCCAATTAGAAAATTATATTTTATTAGAATATATTTATAAAAATTATTTTTTAATGGTTATTAGAAGAGTGATTGGTGTAAAATTATTTTTTTAAGTCAATCATGGGTATGGGTGCTGAGGTAGGTTGATTGTGAGGGGGGAGTGAGGGGAGGGTGTTCGGAAGGTTTGAGAATCTCTTTCAACTATAAGATCGTTTTCACCAATTGGGTGGAATGGGCACGTTATTTCCTGTATTGGTGGTAGCGACCGCCAAGTATTAGTGTTCAAGTCCGGATAGAGGCCTCCTGAATGAAATTTTAAAAAGGTTGATGTTTGTTAGAAGAGAATATAAATAAGATAAATTAACGCATTTAAAAATATAAATTGTTACTTTACTAAATTTATTTTTTATATTTATAATATGTATATTGAGTTGGTATTGAAATATTTAAGTTGCTTTAGGGATGAGATAAGAAAAGATAAAGAAATATATTTCCTTTATAATAATTATTTTTTTCTTTACATTTGGTATGATTTGAATAGAGTGTATTTTTTAAAAAGTAAATTTTTTTAAATAGGAATATAGTAGTAATATTGTTTATTAGAGAGAAAAAAAAGAAAAAAAGAAAATTATTTGTTAAGTAATTATGGGTGTTCTTGATTGTTGGTGTAGAGATGTCATGAGAGTATAGTTTTTTAAAGTAAGTGTTTCAAATAAAATTACATAATTAGAACTTAACAAAAAATTTGATTTGGTGGGTAATGTGAAAATTATTTTACTGGATATAGTTATATATCTATATAGCTTGAGAATATGTTGTTTTTATTAGGTGAGTTGTGAGAAGAGTTTATTCTTAATAATAGATTTTTTATTTCTTTTTCGTTGACTTAAAATTTGTACTACTATCAATTCAAGCTTTAACGTAGGGCAGAAGTGTTGATGAGGGGTCCCCTGTTGCAATAAATATGGTCTATGTGGGGATTAAACATTTTTAATTTTCTAATTTCTTGAGGATAACCCCCCGTCGTTTCCTCTTACAGTCTAAAGTCTAGTTTGAATTTAAACAAGAAAATAGTGTGTTAGAGAGAACTGAAAAAAAAAACTCTTACATCACCTGTTTGGGGCGACTTTCTAGAGGGTTTTTAAAAAATTTAATTTGTAATGTGCAATAATGTCCCTTTTCTTTTGATACATTGAGTAAAATAACAACGGCTACCATTAGCCAAAAGTGATGTGTATTAGTTAGTTCAAATCATCCTCGGTCGTTCATATTTTTATTATTAATTCAAATCATCCTCTCGTTTCATTTCTTTTACCTAACACTAAAAATAATTTATTATTATTTTTCATTATAATTGTATATAGATATTAATTTGGGATTGATGCTAGGGTTGAAGATTGAGTGGTAACTTGATTTTATTTTGGGCACCTATTAGGGTTTTAAAAATTGCATTTATAAATTAGGGACTAAAGAATTAGGTCTAATGATTGAGTTTAACTTTATTCCAAGACCACTTCATTATATAAAAATAGAATTAGTACATAAGAAGTAGCATTGCGAGTAGTTTGTACGGTAAAATATAATACAAATTAACAACTTGTATTTATTTTAATCTAAATAAAATTTATGCTTTAATATTATATAGATAAAAATAATTAGTATATGACGAGTATGGTTAACGTGCAACGCACATCACACAAAAGACTAGTATATATGAAAGTACGAATGAGGGTACATTGGGTTCCTAAAACGCCCCTACATACTTTAATTGATTAAAAATATTATTATAGATAATTTAGTCTTATTGTAATTAGAAAAATTTTAATTTTATTGATATTTTATCAACAATAAAAATAGTTTAATCCTATTCTAATTAGTATATGATTTAATTTGGTAAACCTAGAGTTTATATTTTGCAACCAATTGCATATATATTGCTCCGTATATTTTGCTTCTTTGTTTTGTCAATATATTGCCAATGGATATAATTAGTTGATATATTAGAAGTCATGGGTTTTGCCAAAATCAAAGCATATGTGTTGCACATTAATGAGCAAGTCAGATCGATTGGGGAGGCATTACAAAGAAAGAGTGGATATGCTACTAATAACTGATATGTGCTATACAGCCACGATATGAAATCGATATGCGACAGGCATTCAACACACTGATTTGAGTGTTTGATTGACATTCATTCACAGTGGATATGTGTCACGACCTGATTCTATGGCTGGACGGGCACTAGGGCTCAGGTAAGCTTAAGGCCCCCGACACTTGTAGTAAGCCTGAAACACTAAAAATTTACTATCTCATATAATTTTAAATATTCAGCCCATATTTATAGAAAAATAAACCTCAAGATTTTATTAAATCTCGGCCCAAATTTATCAGCTACAACATTCCCCAGTTCGGGCCCAATTAACAATACATCACATTTTTAATATGGACTCACAGAATTATATCGTCTATGTTAATACACGACTAATTGTACGCAAATTCTACAACTGCGGAGTCACTAACTATTTGGTATACATAATTTTTTATACATATAATTACATAGTAAAATAATTATGGAATTAGGAAAATTTTCTTCTAGTCCTGCGGCGAAAGAACATAACTTAACCGAATTAAAGAGAAACTTACTTCCTGAAAAATTAAACAAGATATGTGAGCCTTCTAAGAAGTAATACTTATTGCAAATGTATAAATATTTCAATCTAGTCATCTGATTAGTTATATGCTCACGCAGCCAGTCACACAAATGTCATATCACCAGCACCTACAATTATTAACATCTTCACATAATCACATCACGTGGAAATTAGTCAGTGGCGTCACCGAAACCCCGATGAGCCGTCCTCCCACATGGCTCATCAACTCACGTGTGCACCTGGGAGCCAATCCCCCATTCTGGCCGACCGGTATAATCCTCACATAACCAGTCCTTTCATTATTTTTTCAATCTCTCTCTCTCTCTCTCTCTTTTTTTGACATAATCAACAGTCACGTGGAAATGAGTGAGTGGCGTCAGACGGGAAACCGAGCCGATGAGCCTGCCTCGGGCACATGCTTCGATCAACTCAGTGGTGCACCTGGGGACGCAATCCGCGCCTTCTGGCCAGAGCCGGTGATAGATGCTCAGACATAACCAGTCCTTGTCAGTTAATTTTTTCAAATCGTCTCCTCGTCTCTCGTCTCTCTTTTTTTTTTTTTTTATATACCAACAGGAGGGCACCGGTTGGTGGCTCGCAGATCGATCTAGATCATGGGCAGGTGCTCTACAACAGGGAGGGCGCACCGCTGTGGGCCTACAAGTGAATGATCTAGATTATCAGGTGCGGCAATGCGAGACAGAGTGGCCATCCTGTGGTTGAAGCGGTAGTGTGTGTGGCGCGGGGGGTGGCGGGGCATTGGTGACGCCGGGTTGAGTGTGGTGCGTGGGTCGACCTGGGTGTGAAGACCGCAGGACATGTGAAAGGTGTCGGGATATGATATCTTATGTTCCGGTTTACCGGTTACCATTAAATGGATCCTGATGTAGATAAATTAGGCCGTTAGCCGGATAAATGGGAGGATCGGGGGGTGGGGGGTAGGCGAGAACGGGGGGAGAAGGTGGAGATCGGAGCTGGTGCGATAGCGCGGCGGACGGGCGTGGTGTCTCGGTGGCGGGGGGGGTGGGGGGGGCGCGTGGGCGGGGTGGGAGGGGGGGGTTGGCACGGCGTTGGCGGGATGCGGCAGAGGTTGTCAACCCCGGGATCTCCTCCCATTTATCGAGCTAACGTAATACAAATCAAGTCGATCGCATATATATGGGTGAACGGTAAAGGAATTCATAATCAGGGATCCATATAATGGTAACGGTCTCCACAAACCATGGCTGAACCCACTTCATCCAAACACACACAACAAAGGGGCCATATCATTATCACACACAATTAATCAAAACATGGCATTAAAGGGCAGAGCATAGTTGGATCAGGTTGAACATCGCGTAATGCAATGCAGCAATTAAGGAGACATTCCATGTCTCAATGCAAA